GGGGGGAGGGGTGTGTGCATGAGCAAGTTATCTCTTAAAATTTAGAATATCGGTTCAAAGTGATATTTTACACGTAAAATTTCTATGAACTAAGCTCTCTAATAATACAACGTTATTTCTAGCAATAAAGTATTTCAATAGACGCAAAAATACTTAAACATGGAGCAGGCCTATTTCTAAGAACTAGGCTTTATAACAAGCTACACAGAACGTCATTTCTAGTATAAAGTTATAACATCAAAGACAAGAAGGTTACAGACTAACATATAATATCAAGATAAAACACAATTACATCATTATTAATTATCTAAATACAAAGGTAAGTAAACACAAACATGTTTCTTTGAACATAAAGATTTTCAATCTCACACATAATTCTTTTAAAACACAGATACTTCTTCTAAACATAAAGATGTGTTTCAACACAATGTGACACTTCTTTTAAATCAACATTATTTTATTTTTTATATAAACCCAAAAACCAGTTCTATACACACAGGAAATAGTAATTCGTGAAAAAAAATGTTTTCTAGATTGGGTTCCCTCATTACTGAACTAGTGTAACCTACCAACGAACGGCGAGTCCCAGTGACCGGTCCACGAGGTTGCACTGACCGGTCCACTCTCCTGTCCACTGTGTCCACTGTGTCCACTCTCTGCCATGTCTGGTCACAGGCAAACTACAACCAAAGATATAATGCTACAACTCCGCGGGCGGTTGGAGGGAGGCGCTTATAACTTATAGGCTCTACTTTCTTACTCGATCTACTTCTCTGTTGTGTATCTGTGTGTACGTCTTGCCTTTTTTTCTCCCGACTTCAAAAACCGTTATTGTGTGTCGAGATGAGTTGCTTGGATCTTTCCTCACCCAGACTCAAAACAACGACATTATAGCAGGCGGGCGGCTGGAGGGTGCCACTGGCAGGTCCTACATCTTTTAATAACCATAAAATTATTATAGTATTATGTACGTCTGTTCTGTCTTTTCCCCTTCCTCCAATAATCGTTTTAGTTTTAGAGTTGAAGTGAGGTCCTCCTCTTTTCTCAAACTGAAACAATTACATAACGGGCCGGCGGTCGGGGGATGTCACTGGAAAGTCCTACGTCTTCTCTATTCCTCTGCTGTATCTGTCTATCCGTCTTGTCTTTCCTTAGTTCTCAATCTTTCCTCGAACACACACAAACAACATTGTACTCCGCAGTGCCATGAACCGTGCATGAGGAGTGAAGTGTGTAGTATGAAGCACCGCATGGCAACTGCTACACACACACACAACCGACGACTGGTGTGTAGTGTGTGACCCAGCACACCGAGCTTATCGACTTCTGCAGCACAGTGCCCGATACACTGGTGAACACAGCCGTAGCGCTCTGTGCAGTCTTGGAGCTGGCTGGGATGTATAATGTAGGCCTAAGATTCTATTCCGGGAAGGTTTGGGTCCCGCTTCGCCTACCACGGGGAATGTCGTCAGCCTTCTGCACGACCAGCACATGAGCACGATTGTGAGAACAGGGCGCACATTTCAAATGTCCATAAACGTGTGCAATGCTCTGTTATTAATAGAACACGTCTATGGGATTCCAAGACACATGTATCCAATGATTATAAATACGTTCGTTGCATGTACTTTTGCTGTGCTGAGATCTCAATGACGTTTTAAGTGGAAGCAGATCTTACGCTGGAACATCGTCATGTCTCGCGTTCTCTTTGTGAATAAAGGATAAAACAAATGGAAATAATATATTTTCTTATGCTTTGTTACTCGCGATACCAGTCTAAAAATGTATTGTTGGTTGTGTGGATTGGAGACATGGAAACTTGCAAAGCAGAGTGTGAACAAATTACAGCTCTTCATCGGTGGTTGTCAGAGGAAGATCATGAAACCTTCTGACCTGACTCCATTACAAATATAGTATTATGGACTATAATATGTATTGCGGAGGCAAATCAAGCAAAAACAAAATTGACTATGAGACCAGAAAAAGAAAGTGGCGATGGATTGGGCACACGCTTGGGAAGCCAGCCCACAACGCGACATGGCAAACCTGAGAGATGAAACTCCCAGGGAAAGAGACAGATAGGAAAGCTGAGCGAGATCCATTTAAGAGCGATATCTGGAGGCAGATCCCGGGTATACAATGTAGGGGGCAGACAAGCTGGCTGGGGGTGGAGAAGATCGCCGGGAACAGAGACAGATGGAGAGTTCTTCTTGGTGGCCTACACCCAATGTCAGGGTGAAAGAGGAGGCTGATAATTGGTCGCTTTTAAGGACAAACGGGCTAACCCAGATTTCGGGAGTTTCCAGAAATCTTGACCTGCACCAAAAGTGGGCATTGCCCTACCTATAGGAAGAGTTTGGTTTCATTGGTGTGTATATTTGTTTATGTCTTTTAAAGAAACCGAATAAGGGTCCAAAAACTTCACCTTCGATTTTCTCAAAACAGCATTTTTAGGGACAGCCCCCTTGTGCTTAAAAGCGACAAATTATTACTCGAGTTTGCTCTATAATACTGAGTAGGTCTATCACATTGTCTGGGGTCTTTAATCACTGCTGCTTCTGTGTGTAAATGAAACAAGGGAAGTAATTGGAGCAGAAAAATAAGAGATAGGTTTTCATAGTTCTTTCCCCTCCCAGCTTACAGCTGCTTTCTGTGGAGCGACTTCAGTGGTCGGTGAGAGAGAAGGGTGGGAAGGGGGGGG